TATCCTTTGGCTCTCTGATACTTTTAGACTCTGCGCCTCGAAAAAGAATGAAGCATAAACCAAAAGTCTCAGAAACGTTGGCGAGAATGTTCATAATTTTTTTCTATTCTTGGCTCTGGAACAAATAGAATACTTTAAGCAGGGGAAGATTTTCAGAAAGAAAATTTCGATGAAATAACTTATATGAATTTGGGAAAGTTAAAAATTCAATACATTTTTGGGCGTCAGAGTCATGTTAAGTCTGTCTTCACAAAATGATTTTTCAAATGTCTCTATTACCGTCAGGCTAGCAAATAAAGATTCTAATGGTTATATAATTGCAAAGCCTTACAGGGTCCACCAAAAAGCGCCACTGTGAGTAATAAAAAAGAGCTCATTTCTATGAAACTCTAAATGTATATCTCTATAAAACAGTATTTGTGTCAATATTATTGTGATATCTTGTGCTCATGTACAAATTAAAACTGCTTATAAATGAAGGATAACAATTTCACATTTAAACTACTTTCAACAACACATTTGAAGGTATATTATTCTCATATTTTGACACATTTGTAGATTCTGTTTCATTCAATAATGATTTTTTTCTTCATAGTTATTGTAAGGGAGCTCAGCAATTGAAGGAATGTTTTTATTATTACCATCCTTTTCAATTTGCAACAGATCCAAAGAGTTCACTTTCATCAGTCTCTACCTCGGCCATCTTGTCTTATACATTTTGTCTTTATTTTCTTATAAGTTATTTAAGTAAGGGAGTTTTACTTTGTGGATAGTGGGATGCCATTTTATTTAAATTTATTATCTTTTTTTTTAAAATCAAAGCAAGAAAATATCTTTATATTTTACATTTACTAGATACTATTCTTTTATCTTCGAGTATACTGTTCTTAAAGTTTATAGGTTGGATCAAGTCAAGTTACTTTTTATGGTATTAACTACAAGATTAGGTAACTTTTTTTTTCTGACTGGGATCAGATCTTAATGGAATCAAGTACAGTAAAGAATCACTCGGAACCAGTGAGATATCTTTAATTAATGTTATCTAGCAAGATCGAATGTAGCATTGCTCTATTATACCATTGCAGTTTTAAAGATTGTTTCGGTATCTTTCGACAAATAAAACGATTCTACTTCTTAAAAAACTGTTGGTTGCAATCTACATAATTTAAATTTTCTTTCTTTTAAATTATCAGATACTATTCAAATTGTTTCATGTTTGTAATTCTTTTCCAAACCAGATTTGTATAGATAGAATCATCGTTGCATTGATTTTATTTGCTGAATAAGTTATAAATACCTTATTTATTCAAATTCTTCTTGTTGTCGCTATTTTCAACAGGTTCTACAAAAATAAAAAAAATAAAAAATTAGCTGCAAGACCTAAATCAAATAAAATTTTCTATCAGACCTTGTAGTCCGTGGGGCAGACGATGCACGTTTCAGCTGTTTCTAACACCGATAGCTAACGAGGGTGTCATGTGGCCAACACAACTTTCTGCAACTAATGTTAGATATCCATTAGAGTTTGGTGGACAAAGTTTTCCTGAAAAATAAAAAAAATTTGTGTAAGTTCAGATATAATGCGGATCTAATAGAGATGTATTAGAGAGATTAGTGCAAAGGCTTGGAGTTTTAGGTGTTCATAAATATTACTTTTTGTTAACTCAATTTCACACAGATCATTCCGAAAATAATGCTCAGAAAAAAATATCTTTAAATCACATTTTTATTTTACAAATTTAGTCCTTTGTAATCATTATTTATGCCCAGGAAAGATAATTGTTATACACATACTTTGTTAATCCTCATAGTTTGTAACGAAGGTAAAACAGAAACAATGTTTTGGTTTTGGATGGTTTGTCCAATGTAAGGGACGCTTTTTTACTTGAGTGTCAGTTCTTAAGTGACCTTACTGATATTTTTTCTATAATATCGTTACGTAAGTTCAAGAAAGGGATAACCTGCGGGTCAAATTGTCTAAGCCATAACCCTTTTCGATTTTATAGAATTTTATGAAACGTGTGAGGGTTTATGTGCGTGTTAATGGTTTGAGAATATGTGAGTGAACCAATTTTGTAGGCCACGCCTTCCTGCGAGCACCCCAAGTGATACGTGAAGAAACAATGGAGAAAGGGGGCGGTTGCTAGATGATTAAAATTCTTTGTAAATTACGATAATACCAACATTTCATTTAACACATGGGTTTCAACTCTATTACATACTATGTTAATTGAAGGGAACTCGTGGGATGTCATTAATATTTCGAAGCTAGCAGAAGCGAGGTCTCTTCAGGAATGAGAGCTATTTAGGTCACAACACATCTACACATCTTTCCCACACGCAGCTTGACGTGAAATGTTTATTGATGTTGAAGCCGGGTTTATTAATTCAAAGTGCTGGGCGGCTCTACATCTTTTTTTTTTTTTTTTGTTCTGTTTTCCTTACAAAAACAAAAGAGGCTTGGAAAGAAGTGAAGATGTTTCAAGATAAAAAAAACAAATCGTGCAAATTTCCAAAGCTGATTTTAGAATTATGCTTCTAGAGCTAAATGACCAGAGGTCCAGATAGTACGCACATTATATCGTGTATATTAATTTATTTCATTTTGATGAATCTAGATAAAATAGTCAGGATGGCTGCCTGATCGTGTGGCATGCGCTCTGGGCTGTGGTCTCGATGGCGCAGTATATACTCAATGACTTGACAAACATAAAAGACCTGCTCATTCCCTCCAACATTGTGCTGCTCTTATTTCCCCATTGTCTAAGAATAATAACAAACAAAACTAGAATAACAACATCATTGATCCAAGTATGTTCATGTGTATTCAATGTATTCTAGTTTGTATAGCGAGGCTAACACCAAGCAGTGGTTATGACGAATATGTTATTCTGAACCACTGCAACTGACTTGATAGTATCATGAGCTGGGCTTCCATTGCTGGGTAATTTATCCCAGATCTTGGTATATTGGTCTCAGCATAGATAACTCATTCATTTCATTTTCTTCCTTATTCAATAATATATGCTAATTTTAAAATGATGACGGGTGTGTGTGTGTATGTGTATATGAACTATTCTAAAAAAAACAAACAGACAAGCTTTTGAAAAAGCCTAAAAAATTAATTATTAAAAAAATGTGATCCATGTGGCTTGATGTGTAAAATATTTACAAAAATCGCTGTAACTATGATATTTTTAAAATATTATTTTCCAAATGACTGGATCTTTATTATTCATTGAGTAAAACATGTTTTAATCTGCGAGTGTATAAATCCAGTTTTTGTGTGATATCTTTATACTTTTTCATTTATGTCTTGGCGTGTGTATGAGTGTGTGGTTAACTTATCTTTACAACCTTTTTAGCGCAAAAACAAAAAATAATTTTAAAAAATCTAGGGTTTATCAAGGATTTCCTCGCAGTTTTTCTATTTATGATCAAAGAATCAGGGGAGCAGGGGGAAAGTGCGGGGGGGGGGGGGGAGATCTAAAACGTGATTAGTGAATTCTATTCAAACGGTTATGGGACTCAATCATGACATAAAATGAAATCGTATAGCCAGTTGTGATTAAACTCACCTTATTACCAACTCATTTTCTTTTTCTTTTTGTCTGTTTGTCTGTCTGTCTGGTAAAAAGATAGAACACGTTATTTATCCAACACCACTTCTCGGATCAAGTTAAAAATTTTCACAATTATTCATTGGCTTAGACAATTTATGAATCAATAAACAAATCTAACCAATTAGCCAATTAATTACTGGCGATTAATTATTTTCCTTATACCGACAATGGGAATTAATTCTTTAGTATTTAAGCGTGGTCGAGAGGCTAAGTGCTTTTGAACTTGGCTCGGCTTGGCTAGCTATGAAGGGGGCTCGAGGTTCGACACCCGACTCGGGCAGAGTTGTGTTTACTGAGCGCCTTCTCCAGGATACCTCCTCCCCCCACTGGTCCTTAATTAAGATTGGACCAAAGCGCTATAAGCATGAAAGTAGCGCTATATAAAAGCCATAATTTTTTTTTTATTTAGAGATATAGCTAATTATTTAAGACTTTGTCCCCTTAGGTAATTCTACACCTTATATCTCTAACACCCATCCTCGAGTCAAGTTGAAACTTAAGACAATTATTTATTGTGCTTAAGAAAACATGAATCAATTAAAAAAAACAACTTTACCAACTTGTCAATTAATTGTTGCTAATTAATTATTTTGTTTGATACCAAAGAAGGGAAATAACTTCTTCTTTATTGAGTGATATAGATGTTCCTCCACTTAGATAATCTTTTTTTTTTTGAAGTATTTTTATATTTTTCATGTTTTCCTCTTCATATCTTGAAAGGCTTGAAAAAACTTTGAAAGAGTACAAATATTTGGGCTTCTAGACCAGTGGTTCCCAAACTTTTTTTTCTTATTCATGAACCCCTTTTATAATCAAAACTTGCCCACGGACCCCGCAAATGAAAAAGCTACATGAGCTAAATAGATGAATGCAAATAGACATTCTGTATAAGAACCGGTTATTAAAAGGTGCACGTAAAGTTTGTGTACATCTCAATGCTGGCAAGACGTAAACACACAAATGCAACTGATACGATGATAACGAATCGCATAAATTACTGACATATCTCTCAATGTTGCAGGATTTAGCACCTTGTTTCTACATAAAACAAAATTAATTTACTGATAGTTTTTTTTTTAATTATTTTTGTTGCCATGCAGAATGAATAATTCTGCAAAGTTTTAACTTGATCCGAGAATAGGAAGTGGTAGAAATAATGTGTACAGAATTGTGTACCAGACAGACAGACAGAGTGAATTGATAAAAGCTATGTAAACTGTATTAACCACCCATTTTATATTTTAATTATTTTATATTAACCATTGTTCAGGGAGCCTAAATCAATTTTTGATATACGCCGGAACCACGCGGTCCCTGGAGGTCCATACGAAACAATATGGGAACCTCTGATCTTGATCATGCTAATCAATGACTGAATGATAATGTAAATGTCTGTTTTAATTTTTTCTTTCTATCATTTTGTTTCATTCAACAAGAAATGTCCATTATTCTATGCGCTTGATTTCCATCTATCTTAGTTTGTATGAATATGTTGTTTCATTGCTTTCTTCTGTACGCTGGTTAACATTTAGTCTTACCCACCACTTTAACGAATTTATTCATAAATATAACTACCAATGAAAAAGTCAAATAAATTTTGAGAATTAAATGTTTGATTGTTCGTCATGTACCCAATGAATATTTCATAAAAAATTTAGCAGACGATCTGATGAAAAGTGTGAGCTGTGAAATCGCGTAAGACCTTCGTACAAATGCATCCTCTAGTTTAAGTAACTCTCCAAGGATTGGCTGGATGCCAGATCTATATGCAGACTAGATCTTTAGAGTTCTAAATCAGAAGTCTAGGTCTAGATGTCCACATAATTATGATATAGATGGCGCTCTACTTACTAAAATTCCCCGCTTGCCTATTTAACAACGTACGTTTACGAAGCTGACGGTATCAAAATCAAGGGCTCGATACCAGGTTTGAATCAAATATTTTTGTAATATAATTTTTTATTTTTTTGTCCTTTTAGTTCAGACAAGATAATAAAGGCATTCTCTTTAAAAAAAATAATAATTCATTAAATGTTTTTCTTGTTTAAAAAAAAATTCCAAAACTAAATGTATTTTCTTGTAGTCTTGGTTGCTAAGGGGAATAATCCAGTAATTTCCAGAATCATCAGAAATCGTAAGAGTTTAAGATAATTATCCATTAGCAGTAACATTTGATAAAAACTATTCAGTCTTCTTTATAATCTTGTAAACGAGAATTTTTTTTTGCTAAACGTACTGGACTATTGTTTTGTGTGATCCGAATGATTTATTTCATTTACTTAATGTCACCGCTCTGAAATTAAGCATGGCTGTGGTTTCGCCTTGGAATAATTATAAGTATAATAAGGCGAGAAAGATTTCAGAACCTTATCTAAAAAAACAGCGATTCTTGAGCTCTCGTGGATTTACATGTTTAATGCGTAACCAAGGTAACAAAGGGAACTATTTTGTCCGTGTGTATTGGTCACGTGATAAGCCGAGTCATGTGATTATGTCGTTACGTTTTGTTCTAAACGTCGCGAGCAACATGCAATAAGAAAAAAAAAGCATGTATAAGGTTTAACAATACAACGTCAACTAATGGATATTTTGAACACTTGTTTGTGTTTGGGCTCTCTGTCTGTCTGTCTTTCTCCCTGAATGTGTGTTTGTATGCTGTGAAGTGGTGGATCTATTGAGAGAAATAAAACTACAATTGAATATGGAGCTACTGGTAACAGTCGTGTGGTAATCTCTTCGGCCTGTTGCACCCTTTCCGCATTCTTTCCATGCCATCTAGCAAACGTTTTGGACCAGGACGTAAAAATCTTCATTTATGAAGGAAAGACCGAAGCTAAAACAAACAAACAAGCAAAATATTTTTTAAAAAAAAATCTTTTTAGAGAGTATCTTTAAATAAACATAAACCAAAATTCTAAAATTAAGGACCATTATATTCATTTTGACACCTTTACAAACCAGGTTACTTTAATGTTTCCGATTGTTCTATTTGGAATGTATTTACAGGAGACTATAGAAAAAACCACTTTTAAAAATCTGTATTTTAATACGCATAAAAATAATCTGATAACAAAGGATTTGAAACATTTTTGTTTTGTTTTATTTGCTTTCAGACGTTCATTCACCCTCTAGTTCTCGTCAACATGTCTTAAAAGACTCATGAAATGTGCCTTTTAAGACACCGAGAAGGGCTTTACCCCATGATTAGGATGAGAGTTCACCGACCTCCCTAAAGGAGGCCCCACAAACAACAAGATGATCATGTATTTACACCCGTTTTCACGAGACACTGCTTCTTGAATGGACTGCATTAGTTCCTCCACTTACGCGAAGGCCAGAGGCCGAGAGGGTAGACACTCCTTATTCCTATAATGTACCGACGCTTTCCGTGGGAGGACCGTCAGTATGGCCTCAGCTAGGAACGGTGCGAAGGATAGGACTGGGCTAGTGAACTTCTTACATCCTCACCACGTGAAGAGTAATGTGGCGTGTTTTTTTGTTTTTTTTCTAAGGCCATATGTTTCACGAGGAACGCAAAGGAAAGTTGATGATGTTTACCCACAGCCCCATTTTAGTATGATTGATCTGATCTCATTAACCTGCATTGTCTGCAAGTGACGACCTTATGTGATTCTCTTATTGACGGCTAGGCCCGAGGAGATCACAATGCCCTTTTATATAGTCAACACGTTTAGCTGTTTTTATTTCAGCCTAATTGCGGCAAGAGACACTGACTAGGTCCTGCCTGTTGCTGAATACTCATATTTCCTGTTATGCGGAATTCCTTCCTTGCTGCTGAATCTGAATCCCCGATTCCTCTCTGGTACAATATCGGAATTCCTGTTAGCCTTCCCGGCTCAATACAACAACTTTCAGAATTTCCGTTCCTCCTGTTACTGTTGAACCTACCCTTATCTCCGTGCCTGGAGGAAGGAGCCTTGGCATCAGCAAACACTGAGTAATAATTTCTACTTCTGAAGTCTATTCTTAGACTCGCAGCCTACCTAATCATCGTTGATTTTTCCCAACCTGTTACGCACGCTGGTCTAGGGTGGTGTTAGAAAATCCTAGATATAACTTCATCAAAACTAAAATATTTTAATAATTAATTGTTTCTATTAGCACAAACCTCCCAGAGTCGCATGACAATGTAGGCTTTTTTTTTTAGCGGCACAGGACAGATTCTACAAACTAGATACAAAAAACTACATCTCAAAGCTAGAAATTACAGACCAGATACCAAAACTATATGTTAAATACAAAATACGACAAAGTAGATACCACAGAATGAATACCACAACTAGAAACCACAAACTAGATACCAATAAATAGATAGAACAAACTAGGCACTACAAAACAGTAGCCACAAACTAGAAACCACAAACTAGATATCACTAAGAAAATACCATTAACTAGGTATCACAAACCAAATATCACTAACTAGATACTAATAACTAAATATCACTAACTAGATACCACTAACTAGATATCACTAACTAGATACCACTAACTAGATATCACTAACTAGATACCACTAACTAGATGCCTTAGTGTATCTTATTCAAAAATCTGCTTGCTTAGATAATTTTAAAAATCTAATGCTTCACTTTTTTAAATGTTTACTTTCTTTTTTTATAACATTTTTAAAATCCTCCTGGAACCCAATCTGGAAGCCTTCGTCGCTGCTTCATGGCACTGGCGGTTCCAAGGGGGAGCGGTAGGGGCGATCGTCCCCCCACCCCCCTCGAAGGCGGGGACGGACGAATTTTAGTACAGAATTCACACAATTTGTATAAAAATTTATTACTTATGTTAATAATATATGCTAATTATTTATATTTCAACCTATTTTTAGATTATTTCGCCCCCCTCAGGCATTTTGGCCGATTTGGTGGGGTCGAGGGGGGGGGGCGGTCCAATAAGTTTGTAGAAATCACAGCTTGCTAACAGAATCAATTAAATATCTATATGATTAAAACGTGTTATTGGTGATTTAACCGATCTTTAGATTATGTCTCAAAATTTATTATTAGTAAATATAAATTTAAAAAAAATTTTACCAGGTGGGAGGGGCGATACATGCAATCGCCTTTTAAAACTGAATAGTCAAATATGGTGACAGAGTTTATGTAATTTCACATAAATTTATCATAATTTTTTAAAGAAAGACTTTGCTTTGCAAAATTTAGAATTCATACGAAATTTTTCAGTATAACAGTAACTATTGAGATGAGTTCTGAACCCAAATATTCTTTTCCTAGTCGCTCTTTTCCCAACCTTTACCCAATCTGAAATTTTTCTAGTTAAATAAGTTTGGGACTATAGCACGAAGGACGATTAGGACAAGGAATAGATAGAGAGATGACTGGGTCATGGCCAACACATGGGTTGTCCTTGTACGGGGACGAGGTGACCTTAAGACACACTGCTCGCTTCCTCTCACGTGCTCTAAGGGAGTAATTCTCAGCATGTTTTTTCGTTGTCTATGGGGTTTCTGACTCGGATCCGCTAGTGCTTCATGGCCACATTTGGCTAATGGGGGCTTGATTTACATTTTTTTTCTACCGGCGGCGTAAGCAGTGAAAGCTGGAGAAACACCACAAACTTGCCTTGAATTGTTCTCGCACTTTAGAATCTGTGCTTCCAACCTCTTCTTAATTATTTTTTTTTAAATTGACCTGTAATATTATTACTAAGAGAAATAGTGCATTGTAGACCCACGAAGAATTAGTTTTTATAACACAGAAATGCAGAAAAACGCTTGGTATTCGTGCTCTTGGGACCCCAATAAGTCAGTTTTCAACACGCCCCAAAACCAATGCCTTACTAGGGGAGCGTAGAATATGTCGTGATGTAGTTATACATAAAAGCTTGAATAATATAATAAAGAAAAGTTTCCGTAACTTGTAAATTGTTTCGTTTTTCAGTTGATGTTAACTCTGTTTCTTTTTTTAATAACCTCTAATGTACGCATGTTTAAAAACTGTTGATAAAATGACACATATAACGGTATAAGCACACTTTTTAAATAGAATCTAAACTCATTTTTAGCATTGTGTGTAGGTCATCAGTTCACTTTTTTTAATGTTCAATAAAAAGAATAAACTGATAGTTTTTATTCGGACTTTTGGGGGCAAATTTGTTGGGGGTGTGTGACACCATTAACTAACCGCACCGGGTCACACAGGCCCTACTGACGCCACTTTTTAAATATATATATATCTGTGTGTGTGTGGTTTTGTGTGTGTGTGTGTGTTAGGGTTTGGAAAATTCGTCTCTCCCCCCCCCCCCCCCCCCCCCCACAAAAAAAAAAAGTTCTGGATCCTTTAGTGACTCAAAGTCAAGCAATTTCTTGGTCGCTTCACAGATGGGTAAAGGGTGAGGGGGGTTAGATTCACGTGGCAGTTTCTCAACGTACCAGTTCAGGGCCTGAGTTAGGGCAATACCCTTCTC